AGTCCAATTGAGAACCTCCTCCCTTTCTTTTTAAAGTCGGTTAAAAAGCTAGTATATTCATAGACTGTTCCGCCACAAATTATTCTCAGGAATCGAAGCAAAAAATATATAAATATAATACGACATCCAATATGTCTTGGATGTTCGTATAAAAGGTCCCAAATTGAACAAATCATATTTCGATACTATTTTCGTAATGTCTGTGATCAGAAAATGAAATACAAAGTAATCATCAGAAAATACATATATAAAAACTCTCTTTGGCAATATTGAGGTCACCCGGTTCGGAGTAATTTGCCAAAAATATATTTTGTATGAATCGCGCTTACACTGTTGAAACATGTGTCATATTAATAGTATTACGACACCAATATCGAAGTGCTTGTCACGCATGGTCGCTTTTGAAAGCTAAGCAATGTTCCATCCCGTGACCATCCCTTGTGAAAGTTGCTTAACAACAACAATAGCAAGTCGCGGCGCTTATCAACTACGCCACCGAGCTACTCAAATAAAGCCCACAAAAATCAATATCAAGCGTCAAATCTCAGCTCATCTCATCGGAAGTCACGTTCAGTACCTCATCGAAAGCCATTTTGACCCTGATTGGGAGGTTCTGAAAGGGATTCGTCTTTTTAATTCTGTACACGTCCAAGTGACACAATTAGTTTAGCCAGATTACTCACACGTGGGATCTCGATGGGGTAGTGGTTAGTGCGCTCGGTCTGTGATATGGTTGTAAAGCACTATCGCGATAGCCTGTTATAGGCTGGATGACCAAAAATTTTTTATCTCGACATCCTCCGTGTTTCGGAAGGAACGTTAAGCCGTTGGTCACGGCTGCATCTACGGCTAACATCCACCGATCCGCATTGAGCCTGCGTGGTAGGTAATGGCCCATTCTCCCTATTAATTTCGATTCTATTTCATCCATAGGGAAGGCTTGAGCCCCAGCGGTGGGATGATACGCGATAATCTTATACTGTATTGTTTGATATAGTATTTTCATAATAATTACTCAAAGAAAGAAAATATTAACTATTAAAAGAAAATAATTATTGCAAGCTCTTTTGGAGCACTCTAAATTTCTTTTCTCTCTGATTAGTAGCTTCCAGACACATGGAATTTTTTTAATTAACACATGGAAAAAAATTTGACTAGACACGAAGGACAAGCAAACGACCCATTTTTTGACCTAAGGAAATTGTGATAACCACACATAACGAATGTAATCACCAAATTAGTATTTTGAGTGTTACGGTAAGCGTAAAATCAAAGCGAATGTTATTAAGAACACGTGTTGCATTCTTTTAATTTGCAATAAAGCTTATAAATACTAGCTTTCCATCAATGACAAGACTTAAAAGTAACATTTTTCATAGGGATCCGTTTCATCATCAGCATCATAAGCCCTTTATCAGACCTTCCTTATGCATAGTTGAGGATGGTGGGCTGTGACTCCCCGCGCAGGCCCAATGCGGATTGGAGGGTATATGAAATACTATTTATTATTGAATGTTATATATAGTAATTTGTTTTTCGTAATTAATTATTTAAGTAAAGGTTACTTGAGGGAAATTAAGTTTGTTTATTGTTTACCGCAATATTCAGTAGTTTCTGACCACAGCCAATCTCTAACAGACATCGTTAAACTTTTAATAGCTTTTACTCGACGCTTAATAGATCTATTTTGACCTTTCGGGAAAGTTTAATATGAAAATAATGTAGCGAGACGAATGGGCGAATAACTTATTTAGTATTTTATTATATGAGTTTTGTAACAATAAGATTTGGTAATGGTTACGTATGGTCACAGTTGTAATAGGTTCTATAATATCGTCACTAACAGTCACGTACAGGAATAAATGCTTTCTTAGTTTTATCCTTGTAACCGAAGAAATTGGCAGTCTTAGATGAGCCTTAGCTGTTAGGGTTGCCATTACTAGAGAGAAAGAATTTAATGTACTCGTGTTACTTATTTATGGAACTTTTCTGATCTCTTGTTATATTGCTGATATAATAAGAGATCAGAAAAGAATATTGCTGTTATATTCTGATCTCTTGCAATAACAATAGGTGCTGGAACTGGACAAACACAAGTTCGGTTAAGATAAATGCTCATGCACGAAGTAGGTTTAATATTAAGTTGGATTCAAATAATTTTAAATAAGTTTTGAAATCGGAAACAAACCTAAGAGATAGCGACGCCTTGAAACTGAACTTCCATTTATTTTCTCATCACATTGTTTTGAAAATTCTCACAAGTGTGTGTATCAGATTTAAAATATTATACGCCTATTAACTTTTGTCAATATTAGGTACTATATCTGTAGTAATTAAATGTAGGATTTTCTTGCTAGTAAACGCTCGGTTGACAGCCCTGTCCTCGCAATGTGTACAGAATAATCGGAGCCGTAGTAATATTTGTGCGTCAGTAAATAAAGCTTTGCGCATATTATTTTGATTGTATACTTTGCGTTTCGACGATTGCTTCGTATTCAATGCATACCTACTCGCGAGGAAAATATAATTTTAGCCAGAAACTTGAAAATATCTAAATTTCATCAAGTATCTATAATGAAAAAAAAATTTTAGAAGTGACTTTTTTAATAATTGCGGCGAATGCGGTATTAATTCAAGTGCATTGAGCGTACACTGGTTGTAGAGAACAGAATAGTTCTGTAAAGTAAAAAAATAAATTGCTTGCTTAACTTTACACTTGTATTGTATGTATACTTTATGTAAACTGAAACTTTGTATTGGGATAGATTATATTTATTTATAGTTATTTAAAAATTTATGGATATGAGGTACCTAACCATAGAAGAAAGTGAACAAATTCGGAATAGTGTATTTAAAGTGGAATACTGAAAGTACTTTTTAAATTATTCATTATACAAATCTTCATATACTTTGAAATAAACCAAGTAAATCCCTTAGCCAATCGCAAATTTCGATCGAAGTTTAACAACAGTTTAGTTGAAAATATATACCGGGATCGGGTTCCTAGCACCACCTAACTATATATACTGCTATACTCATATATAGTTACCACCTAACTCAGCCAACTATCTAGCAGCATTTAACTACGCAAGAAGTATCAAATAACAAACGAAATATCGCCATTAGATCGCTAAGACTTCGTATTCTATAGATAGAGATTTATGCGATCGCATCCCTGCATAAGAATAATAAGAACTCGAAAAACGCTTGGTCTATTACTTTACTCTGGTCGATAATGAGGTGTTGTATGAGGCACCCCAGGAAAGTAACATTTAGGGTATAGACAAACATTCTTGAGTTCGTCGTGCTACATATACTGGACTTATAGACATTTTTTTTGCAATAATTTAAGATGGTATTTTACTACATATTAAATACAGACTACCCATTTCTTTCGCGGCTTTACTTGCGTGTGTTATATGATCTTCAAATCAATATTTCCCCCAAAGTTGAATTTTTCAAAATTTTAGTACCGATATATCAACCAGCGAAATAGTCTTTTATATCACAAACAAACATTAGCTGACTAAAATAAAAGCTGACCCGAACTACGTGCCGTCATATAATAATTTTTAATAAATCATACCTTATTAATAAAAAATCTTATAAACAAACCTTGTTCTGACAAAAAGGAACACAATAAAAAAATCATTCATTTTGGTGAAGTCGTTTGGAAGTTACGCGCGTACATGCATTTAGCGATTCATTTTTATCGTATATAAATTGGCAAAGGTACGCGATATCTGCAAAAGCAGAATTTATAAAATTAATGCGTTGAAATACAAATACGTTTTCAATTAATTATTGAATTGAATATGAATTTCAATTAAGTAGTAGGTTAGCACGTGTTGTAAATGAAATTATATTATTGGCACATTGAAATTATAACTTTGATCATCGAATTCAATGACATATAAGTACCAAAATATATACTCACCACGTTTGTGGTAAATTAATACTCAGTATGAATATGTTATATGGTATGGTTATGGTTATCCAGTTTTCAACAACTTATTAGAAAATATAATACCTATTTGTAATAAAAATGATAGATATCTCAATTTTCGTGTTAAGCAATTTCGAGAATAAATGGCAAATGGTATGCAATAAACTAGGTCTCGCACATCGGGTCTTCAAGTTTGATAAAATACATATTCCATTTGTACCACAATGCAAATACAAAATGTAAAAAGAAGCCAAGTTCGGTCAAATAGACGTCATTCATAAATTGGGTTGTTCCGTATTCATCCAATGCATTATTTTTTCCTTACATATCCTATTTTTGTTCTTTACTCAACCTACAATAATTTATTATAATTTTAAATTCCTTACTCATCCCATCAGTGTTCTTAGCTCATCCCAATTTCAAATCATTTAAAAAGTGTCAAATTGCGTACGTTCTGAACAAAAATATTATCTTTTTTTTTCAATCTAAGTTAATTGTTTCTTTATAGTTGTTATATAAAATAAAACAGCAGGAAATCGGAAAGATATAATAAGAGATAAATTTTGCATTCTATTCATTCAATTAATATTTATTTCAACTAATTCATTCAATGCTTTATTTAAAATTTTCTTTAAAATTAAGTCTTAAAAAAACGGTAGGTTAATACTGATTAAAACTCATAATACTCATTAAAAAGTCCCAAAGGTGCGAAATTCCTGCCGTATGACGAAGCATTGTTAACTCCTACTAAGTTTAAGTAGTTAGCAATCTATCTACAGAGGGCAGGGTTGGAAAAAAAACATGTTTTTTTTTAAAGAAAAAAACATCATGATTTATTTGAAAAACAAAAAAAACATGTTTTTTATTAATGCTTCATTGCTGTTTTAATTGCCTTGTTTTAATCATGTTTTACACACGTACATATGTATAAAATGAAAAAAAAGAAAGATAAAAAAGTATTTATTTATTAAAATTATAATTATTATTTATTTAAAACATCAGTTACATTAAAATGCAATCAAGTTCAATCAACTTCCCATCTTTTATCTTCAACTCAACCCTCAACTTCCATGATCTGAAGTTTCTCGAGCGAACCATATTGGTTAAGAGCCCTCATAATTGCAACCAATTTAGCAGCTTTCTCAGTGCCGAGCTTGTTTCTTAATTTTGAATGTACCAGTCCGAATGACGAGAATAACCTTTCAATTCCTGCGGAGGAAGCAGTTGCAGTAAATAACTTACACGTAATGTCGAGCATCCCTGGATCCACTTTAGTACTCACTGATTTCCACCACACAGACACATGCGTTTTTATTAAAAGGTATTTTTTTAAACATGTACTCCAAAAAAGGATAACTCCTCGCACGGTACGCCAGGACATCTTTCATGGCATTCGGACAGCTTGAATCTAAAAATTCCATGCCTATTGTGTCCTCCTCTTCTGATAGACCATCTCCATTATAATTGGGGCCTAATATATAAGCAGCGAAATGTGCTGGTGTCATTGCGGCTTTAAAGCTAATAAATTTGACAAATATTCAATGGATAGATATACATTTATTTAGTTTCTTTTCTTACCATCATCACTTGAATCATTTTCACAGATTTGTATTCTCGAAGAGGTTGATGCACTCGAATTTTTAGATGCATAATCTGAACACTTTTCCAAATGTGTTCTCATACGAGCAATCAGGCCCACTATGTTTGTCCTGCAATGCTTGCATTGCGCCCTGGCTGTCTTTCCGCCAACTCCAGTGGTAGAACTCGAAGAGGCTGGAATTTCTATAAAGTTCCGCCAAAGCGAGTCTTTCTTCCGCCCTGTTATCATATTTTTTTACCAAATAACACACCACACATACACGCACCGTTATTGTTTATTAATAACGCCGAACAAAAATAATTATGTAAACAAAAAAAGTACGTGTCCACCACATTATACATACAAAATATGAATTGATCGATTTCGTTCGGCTTTCATTCTATCTAGCTGAACAAAAGCAAACCGGGAAATCCCCGCGTTTTATAAACATTCACCGCATTACCGCTTGTCAGTCAGGGGAATCCTAACTATGTAGTAATATCGATGTTGCCAACTCTTTAGTAAAAATCATACCATAAAATGAGTTTTTAATTTCTTGTAATTAAAAGTATAAAGAGTTTTTTTTATGTGTTTTCAACATGTTTAAAACAAATTAGTTTTAATCATGTTTTAAACGTGATACATACTTTTGTAGTGTTTTAATCAGTGTTTTAAACGTATGTTTAAAACAAATGTTTTAAACATTGCCAACCCTGACAGAGGGTATAGCTCACAAAATTGTGAATTACTATTTTATGCCTGGACCTGCTTCTCTTTCTTCCGTAAACAGAGTATTGCTATTGGCTATCAATATTATCAAATCTGCTCTAAAAATCTATAAAAATGACGATGGTAAAACATTTTTAAACTATAATATACGATATAGAGTAAAAGACTCCAAGGTATCGTTGCATCCATAGCCATTGTTTAGGGATGTGCATTTTTTGTATACGTACTTTTATTGATAATAATATGTCTTAAGTCAATTATCTGAAATGTAACGAATAAAATTGTGCATTGGTATTATTATGTTTCACATATATTACCAAGAATATTATAATATTAAAGAAAATAATATTATAGGTTTATGATTATCTTTATCGATAGTGTCACTAACGTTAGCAAGCCTAAGAACAATATCTTCAAGTCCATTTAATATTTCCCTGAACACTACTTATTTTATTTTTTTATTTTATCTCGAAAGCAGAAAAACCGATTGGCGACCGTGACAGGACACAATTTAAAATTCATCAAAGTCTAAGAGTTTCAGATAGCCGTTGAACAGAATTGAACTGGGCAAGTCACTACCCGAAGCAGCAGCAAAGTCCTGTTGAGGGTGCACCAGCGAGATTTTCCAATCGGCGTATCATCAAAGAAGACAAAGAAGGGACACTTGTTTTCTGCGCCCAGGCCAGTGATGTACTAAAATATCACCCTGCAGAGCAACAGTCAATAAGGTGCGTGCGGCGCCCTTTGGTGCGTCTTTGCCCTCTACCAAATATAGAGGATCTTCAGTGTTGAAAGCTGAAGGCTTTCAACAGGCGGGAGGATGTTGCGGCTTCAATTCATCTAATATAGTTTTATTTTTATTTCAAGATAGTAAACCTTTTTTGTTTCTATTCCATTTTTTATTCGTTTTCTTTTCAATGTCTTTGTAAAATATTCTCTATGATCGCTTGTCAATAATAAAATTTTTTACTAATCATCTAAATACAACTTGGATTATTATTTTCCCCATTTATGTAGCGAAAACACCGATTATAATGCACATTACCCAGTTTCCTCTTTTAAAGATTCCTGAGGGTGGAATAGATAACAAAATAGTTACTGAACCGCTTTTGCGTTTTATGCCTGTTTGTTGCAAGTGTAAGTGTAATTGGAGAAAACAAAACATATCACACAACAATCAGTCAGCAATCAGGGGGAATAAGGTGGGTGTATTAATTCCACTCATCCCTTTTTCTTGTAAAAATTCTTGAACGAGGCGACTTTTACGTGGTTTTGCATTATCGTGAGGGATGATCGGAGTCGTAACATATCGTGATGCTGTTTACTGCGGTATTTGGCGCTCTAAAAATGCATGGTAACGCTCAGCATTTATAGTGACATATTCTTTATAAGTGGTCCAGAAAGCGATGCCTGTGATATCCAGCCAACAGTTAGCAGCACCTTGCGCTCATGAAGCTCGGCACGAGGTATTGAGGCCGGGTCCTCACATGGCCTCACCCAGGACCTGGTTTCATGTCTTTGAGAAGCAGTATAAAACTGGAATGAAATCTCATTTGTACATGTCAAGGATCGAAGCATGTCTGGCTCTCTTCCGTATTGAGACAAGTTGACTCGCGCGACCTCAAGCGGAAACTCTTTCTGGGTGTTGCTCCGAGCATGGGGTACCCATGTAGCTAACTTACTCACCAGACCAAAATCTTCTGTCAAAACTCTTTGGACAGTAGTGTGAGGAATTCCAAGATATTGGCTAAGTCCCTCTTTAGACCAGTTACGTGTCTCCCGTAATGCCTCTTTGATTTTATCTTCCGCTTGCAGCCTAGTCGTCGATATTCGCCGACCTTCTACTGACAAGTATTACGCCTCAACTCATCTTTCTCTGTACGAATGGAGCCATTTTGCTACTGTCCTCTTACTAATTGCGCATTACGTCCTACACTCTTCACTAATAACTTATGAGAAACGTCAGAAGAGTAATTTAGAAGAAAACAAAACTTCAAAAAAATTCGTTGATCTTGAACCGAAATCGAATTTCTCAAACTTTCTATTGTAACAACCAACTCACGCAGGGTTATTTGATAAACTGAATAAAATACGTGAACACTGCTACACAACGCACATTACAAGAACGCTACAGGTTTACACCTGTAAGCACAAGATTAAGAATAAAAGGTGTCGGAACTTTAGGTACGACCTAACATATAAGGATATTTATGGTACACATAATAATTTTCATCCGTACTATTTAGTAATATTTGCCTCAGGATGACTAAGGAATACGCGTTTAGGATGAATTAAGAAAAATATTCATAGGCTGACTTTGGAATACAAAGTTTGGGATAAGTGAAAAAAAATAATGAGACATCATAGCATGAATACGGAACAACCTCATAAATCATTGTTATCAATTTCTATCACAATACCAGTAAAAAGGGATTAAAAAACAGATATCTATTATATTTAATCAATTTAGTATTCACAACGGTATCATTTATCATAATGTATCTCGGGATGATTGTAACTGGTTAATAAGATAAGATGTTCATTTGGAGAATTAAATTTCAAAATTTATGGATATTGATGGTATATTGTAATTGTTCATTTATTACGTATTAAGTAATATTTATCCCGTATTCCTATGTTTCTTGGCTAACACACTACCGTACAGCTATATATTCTTCAAAACAAAAATATTACACCACTGTAAAAAGTCCCTGCTAACATTGTCTACCCAGAGATATAGGTATCTCGTATATTTGGACGTAACAAGAATGCGTATGGCAAATATTTACACGAATGTAATACTTTTTGTAAGGCAAGGATATTACGTCATGTCAATTTATGCTAATACAAAACCTTAAGAAAGATGTATTGTGCACACTTTATGAGCCCGAGAATTGGCCGTCGACATTTCATAAGACGGAAAAAGGGGGATACTAAAATATTAGTCTTGGTTACGTCACGCATATTGCGGATTTTCCTCCCACAAGCGCACAGTCACGTTTGACACTAATAAAACACAGCGTGTTTATTAAATGTTTATTGAAATAGGAAAATATGCAACAAAGTACTATAAGTAGGTACATGACATACATTTTTATTTAAAGGCTTTAAAGTCTTAAGGTACGAAATTAAGGCCAGTGTTTTGAAAAAGCTCACCGTTGGACTTACAAAGAATGCTATACTAGTCAATAAAAAATGAAAAACCGGCCGCGTGCTAGTCTATCTTTAAAAACGCAAAAAAATACGTGTGTTGTATCAGAGACTCAATTAAATATTTATTTTATTATGTTTTTATGATGATGTATTTCTGTAGCAACGGAAATACACTATTTGTATAAATTTTAACTGCCTAGCTTTTACGGTTCATGAGATATAGTCCGGAGACAGACGGACGGACAACAAGTCTTTGTAATAAGATCTCGTTTTTATTCTTTCAGATTTTTATTCTCAATAAGACATAGTCACTTACATGAGAACATCGTATAAAAATTAATATAACGATTACGATCACTGGTAAAGTGACCCATCTAACAGCTTTGGGGAAAATGGATACGGAAATCTAAAAAGGCTATATACATATTGTATGCAATTGTGCCTTTATTGTATCTGTGATCTTGTTGCGAAAATAAAGAAATTTATATTTATATTATTATTATTTCCAAGAAATTATTGCAATAGAAATTAAATGCCAATGTAATAAGGCCTAACCTTATCACATTTATTCATGATATGACGATGAATATTATACGGATAAAGAATAAACATGCAATAAAAATATGAAGCACACCCAATAGTAATACTGTTACCAACTATTACTATGGAGTCGTTTCAAACGATAATGGTGATGTGAAGCCCCTTCTTGTTATTCATTTATTCAAGTAGAAGTAATATAAAAATTATTCAATGAGTCCCTTGCGCAAACTTTAATATGAAAATAATGTAATAGAATTACAGGGATGGTATAAATCAAAATAATTTTCATATTTTATTAATATCATCATATCAAATAAGGTCATAATTATTGTATTTATTTGAAGATATCTTAAAGAAAAACAGGAAGTAAATAACTAACATCGTATTATAGATCCCTGATGCCTACAGCTTAAATTTATTTTTTTAGATATCGCCTATGCATTTCTGACCATTGAATAACATATAAGCAGCAGCCCTATGTGTTTAAGCTATATCATCACTCGTTCGGGGCTCGAGTCGTCTTACTTATACGCTGACAACAGCGAGCAATGCTGCACCCGCCTCCCGCACCGTGTTCACGTAAAAAAAAACATGATCAAATCCAAAAAAACTTAGCACCAAACCCAAGTCGATTTTTAATAAAAACTAAAATACAAAAGAAAATTGTCGCCCTTCATTAATTTTCAACGGTAAACAATTTTTCGGAATAGGAAAAAAATTATGTTAACAAATTAAAACTCAATTTTTTACTTTTAAAGCTCATTCCTTGGAGGATTGAAACAGGAGAGCAGATATAATTTAATACCCATCTAATTGAAAACGGCGTG